ACAACACAACACACACACACACACCTGAGTCTAAACAACACACACACACCTGAGTCTGCAACGACACAACAACACAACACCTGAGTCTACAGCAACACACACACACACACACACACACACACACACACACCTGAGTCTACAACAACACAACACACACACACACACACACCTGAGTCTAAACAACACACACACACCTGAGTCTGCAACGACACAACAACACAACACCTGAGTCTACAGCAACACACACACACACACACACACACACCTGAGTCTACAACAACACAACACACACACACACACACACACACACCTGAGTCTAAACAACACACACACACCTGAGTCTGCAACGACACAACAACACAACACCTGAGTCTACAGCAACACACACACACACACACACACACACCTGAGTCTACAACAACACAACACACACACACACACACACACACACCTGAGTCTAAACAACACACACACACCTGAGTCTGCAACGACACAACAACACAACACCTGAGTCTACAGCAACACACACACACACACACACACACACACACACACACACACACACCTGAGTCTACAACAACACAACACACACACACACACACACCTGAGTCTAAACAACACACACACACCTGAGTCTGCAACGACACAACAACACAACACCTGAGTCTACAGCAACACACACACACACACACACACACACACACACAGCTGAGTCTAAACAACACAACAAATGTGTGACCCTCAGATGTGACCCACTGAGATGTGTGACCCACTGATGTGTGACCCACAGAGATGTGTGACCCATTCAGATGTGTGACTGGTTGAGATGTGTGACCCATAGACACGCGTGACCCGCTGAGATGTGCTCTCCACAGTGCTGCACCTTGAAGGGTCGGGGAGTGATATAGCTGCACCTGGCGCCCCACAGCTGCTTGATGAGCTCTGCGTACGCTCTGGCGATCTCTCCACCCATGCCCAGAGGATTGTCCTGGTTCAGCTCCTGCTGGTACTGCTCCGTCAGGAAGAACTGGGTCAGCGGGGGCACGTTACTCAGGCACTGCACACACACACACACGATATGAGTGAGATGGGTCATTTAAAATAAATATTGTGTGGGATACACTGATATGTGTGTGTGTGTGTGTGTGTGTGTGACGCACCTGAGTGGCGGAGTTCATGAAGCAGGTGTTGCCCAGGTTAGAGAGTCCACACAGACCTGCTCTCTGCTCACACACACCACTGCTGCTGCTGTACGGAGAACACGACACACTGCTGTAGGGGCTCTTCAGGCTGAGCACACACACACACACACACACAGAGAGAGAGAGAGAGATGAGAGAGAGCCCAGAACACACACTGGAGGTGTTCCTTAGCCCCACCCACTCACAGACTCCTACCACCTGCCCACACAATTGTATGCCCCCTTCTTTAACCCCTCCCCCTCATGCTTTTTATTAACACACACACACACATTTTACTTGTCCCGCCCACTCAGACACTCCCTTCAACCGCTCTATCTACATTAGCCCCTCCCCTCATCACTTCACACTCATAAGCCCCTCCTCTCACCACACTCATAAGCCACTGCTGTCACTCAGCACACTGGTTAGCCCCGCCCCTCACACCCATGAACACCTCCCATCTCCTACATATTCATAAGCCCCTCCCTCATAAGCCCCGCCCTCAGGCATACTTGCGGTTGCTGAAGCTGCTGCTGTGATTGGCTGAGAGGGATGAGGGACTGATCTTTGGTAGAGCAGAGAGAGCAGCAGCAGAGGACCTGAGAGAGAGCAGAGGAGTGGCCGTTACAGGAGATGACCTCACACACACACACACACACACACACACACACACACACACACACACACACACACTCACTCACTTTAGTGATGAGGAGCCGCGGGGCCACGAGCCGTCCTCATTCTGCTGCTCGATCACCAGAACCTGCAGCAAACACACACACACACACACACACACACACACACACACACACACACAAAGAGTTACACTGATACACTCACTGTGTGTGTGTGTGGGACAAACAGGACAAACAGAGCCACATCAGTCTTCAAACACACAGACACAGACACACACACACACACACACACACACAGACACACACACACACACACACACACACACAGACACACAGACACACACACACACACACACACAGACAGACACACACACACACACACACACACACACACACACAGACACACAGACACACACACACACACACAGGCCCTGACCTGGCCCTGGTAGAGTCCTGCGTCCTGGATGGTGCTGTGGGGTTTGTTGAGCGGCTCGAAGGTGTTGCTCATGTACCTGTTCCACAGCCGCGTCTCCTTCTCATCCGGGATGCTGAACAGCTTACGCATCTCACGCTCGATACTGTCTGCAGGAGAGACACAGCAGAAGAGTGTGTGTGTGTGTGTGTGTGTGTGTGTGTGTGTGACACTGTATCCACTGACTTCTACAGGATTTCTTTGTCTACTGTGGAAGTCAATGGTTACCGGTTTCCAGCATTCTTCTAAACATCTCACACAGCACCATGAGCACTGGATGGAGGCAGACTGTGTTATCAGTGTTGTTATTGCTGGTGTTCTCTGAACTGCTGCGCCGGCTCAATGGTCAGCACTGTGGCCTCACAGTAAGAAGGTCTCTGGTTTGAGTCTCGGCTGGGCCAGTTGGTGTTTCTGTGTGGAGTTTGCATGTTCTCCCCGTGTTGGTGTGGGTTTCCTCCGGTGCTCCGGTTTCCCCCACAGTCCAAACACATGCGCTATAGAGGAATTATGGGTGTTTCCCAATACTGGGTTGCAGCTGGAAGGGCATCTGCTGTGTAAAACATATGCTGGAATATTTGATGGTTCATTCCGCTGTGGGGTTGT